CCTGTGCGGCCTCCCGGAGGCAGGCGCGCCAGTGGACCAGGCCTGTAGGTACAGTGGGGCATTTCGGGGCCTGGCACCCTGGCTTCCTGCCAAGGCCCCATGACTTCCATCCAGCCCCCAAGCCCCTGGCTCTCTGGACTACCTGGAGGACTCCCCACCACCGCCCCTTCCCCAAGCGTAGCTTGCTTCCCCACCTAGGCAGACAGAGGGCAGACGCTGCAAAAGTGAGTTTAAAAATTTTTATTAAAATATTATTTGTTTGTTTTGTGACGCCAGTGCCCCCTGACTTATTTTAGGCCCCCCGAATTACAATATCCTGGCTACGGGCCTGCAGTGGACCCCTCAATCCCTTCCAGGAGCACGAGCCGGGCCCCTGGCTGCGCCCCCGGCTTCCCGGGAGACCCGAGGCCGCCGCGGTACCGAGGGGGTGATTCCGGGCAGGTCCCAGCAGGGAGGGAGCCCCCAGAATCCCGAGATGGAGGCGGCGGGGCGGGGTAAAGGCTCCCCAGAGAAACAGCCCCTCCTCCTAACCCGCGAGCTCCACCCTGGCTCGTATTGGGATGTGAGACCACCGAGGAATGCGGGGCGGGGGGGCGTGAGGCGGAGGCGGGCGGTGGCAAACCACCTCTGCAGCTCTCTGGCCTTGGGAACCCCCTCGGGGCCTCCCGAAATCAGCTGGGACTCGACGGCACTTTCCCCAGCACCCCCACCCCCCCCCTCTCCCTGCTTCTCCGGGGGCTCTCTCGCTCTTGAGATGCCTTCTGTTCACTCTCTCCTCTGAAGCTCGCACCACGGATGACCTTTTTTCTCTTTTCATGTCTTGGCGCTGTGAAAGTCTCTGAAGCCATCCCCCCCCCCTCCTCGCACGCGTGCGTCGTTCCCGCGGCCGCAGTCCCTACTTCGCAGTAGTCAATCCGGAACAGCTACCTCTGCCAGAGAGAGAGTCCCTCCTCCTCGCACTCATCGGCCCCGGACTCCCTCTGGCCCGTGTGAGAGCCGAGGGGAAAGCCGGGGCTTGCCACTCCCTCTCCGCACCGGGGTGGTTATGGAGAGGTGACAGTTGCGTGTTAAGAGACGGGGCCGCTTGAAGAATCCCGGGCCTCTCTGACTCGGGGGACGCCCTGGGATCCCGAGGGGGTCGCCTGCCTGCGCCTTCCTACCACCGGAGCCCTTGCTGGGTTTTTTCTGCTCTACAGCAGCTTTGCCCCCATGCCCAGGGGACTGCGGGGGGGCAAGGCAGGGGAGCACCTTTTCCAGAGCCAAAGGGACTACTCGGGCCCTTCACTTTTCTCTAGGACACCCCCCCCCCCCCCCCCCCGCCTGAGCGCCCAGAGAATGAGCTGCTACCATGCCTGTCACCATCACTGCCTTCAGTGCTCCCTCTCAACTATGGAGTCTTGTGAGCAAAATTCCGACTGGCATGAAAATTGTGAGCGAGGGATTGGGCTGCTGGATAAATTAGTTTGACCTGGAGCCATCCTTCCTGAGCTAAGACAGAAATGTATGAGCCGGAGGCTAAAAAAAACCTGTGAGCTAGCCCACACTCACTCAGCTGAGAGGGGACTCTGCCTTCCTGGCCAGGGAAACGAAGCTTTCCGAGTGCGTCTTAACCCCAGGGATCCAGTGGGTCCCCTTCTTCCCGAGCAACCCGCTGCCTCTCCGCGTGGGAACCGTGTTCTTTCCCCCAGCCTTCCGGGCTCAGGTGCCACCCGCTGAAAAAGGCTTGTTCGTCTCTGGAAGGACGAGGGGGAAAGAGAGTCTGCGGTCCGAAACCAAACGAAGGGGAAATAAAAGTACACCCATCGGGAGAGGCGCAGTGGCTGGTCTCGAATGCAGACTGTGCGGGGGATTAATGAGTGACAGCAGCGGGGGAGAGGGTCACGCAGGCAGTCTTTTCTTTGACAAAGTGACGCCTTTTGGTCCGCCACAGAAAGGCTGCGCACCTCTGGAGCAAAAATATCCTGCCTTGAGGAGACTTTGCCCTGCCTTTCTCCAAGCCCCCACCCCCCCACTGGCACGCCTCGCCCAGCCTGGATCCCCCTCGCCTCTGCCACCGAGCCGCCTTTCGTTGGAAGGAAAGTTCCACTGAGTGAGTGCTGGATTGACTGACGCTGGAAAAGGGGGGGGGGGGTTAAGCCTGCTTCCCTTTAAAATGCTTGAGTATGACAAGAGCCCCTTATTTATATCAAGCCAGGCTGGAAGGAGACCGTTTCCCTCTTATTTATTTCATACGTCCCCGAGAAGAAACTCTGTTATGAAGGAGAGAGGCTCCATTCGTAAAAGAAGGCAATGGGCATTCTTGTTTAACGGGGGGGAAAGACAACAAACTGTCCTTGAAAAGGACCATGTAGGCAGGAACCAGCGGCGTCTGAAAGGATACCAAATACCACCACCACTGGATCCCGAGATCCCACATCCCCCCCACCGTTTTCACCTCGGACTAGAGGCCGGCCGCCTCTCTAAGCATGTTTACTCGGCTGTAAGTCCCGCCGACCTCGATTGAATTGGCTCACAACATAAGCCAATGGAAATGAAAGAAGGCTGCGATCCTGATCGCGGTTGCTTGGGAGGGAGGTCCTTTCGTACTTCGTGGGGCTTCCGCATAAAGATGCATGGGTGGATCGGATTCTGTAAAACGTGTCGCTGAAGAGTGTGGCACACACAGACACACACAGAGAGAGAGAGAGAGGCAACCACACGCCTTATAGAGTCCACCAGACCTAATAATTTCTTTCACTTGCAAGCAGGAAATTGATGCTCGACTTTTAAAGACCTGACTTGAAAGTTCCAGCCCATTCGGGACCACGTTTATTTTTCCAAGTCCCCGGATCGAAAGCAGGGCTTCTGCGGTAGAAGCCCGGGTCGGGTCGGGTCGGGTTGGGAATTTCGCATCTGCACGCGATTCCGTCGCAAGAATCCCCCCCCCCCAGTCCTCTGCTTCCCAGGACCTTTCAGCATCGCCCGCGCGTCTACAAAGGCGCTTTCCAAGACCTGGCAGAAGAGGGTAACATTTTTCGGAATAGCAGAGTCCCGGTAGGAGTTCAGGCTGGAAAAGGAACCAACCTGGAAGGGTTGAAGCCTTTGCCACCCGGTTCTCCGCTGGAGCCTGCCAGGTCCAAAGAAGTCCCCCATTTCCTTGTTTAACTGGTCGTTTAAAAGAAGAAGAAGAAGAAGTAACAGCCATCACTGGGAGGCTTAATCGCTATTCCTCTCGCTCGCTTGAGAGTGTCGAGGGGCTCGGGCAACGCGACCAGACAGAAAGAAGACGGGATTCCGTTCGTTGACATGGATTTATTTGCTGTAAACATTAAAATCGCCTTTCTCAAAGAAAGAGTTTTCAGGGAGAAAAAATGTCCGCGTCTAACTGTCAGATACACCAGAAAAGAGGGGAGGGGCAAGGGGGAAAGAGGGACTTCATAATGTGCCCTACCCTTTTGGAAATATACAAAGGAAAATATATATATATATACACTACAGAATATGGCATTTTAAAAAAACGTAAAAAATAATATATTAACCGACCATTTTTGACATTGTTTTGCTTTTAAAAATATCAAAAAAAATAATAATCAAAGTGCTCAGTAATTTCCAGGGAGTTCTGTCATATGTGATAAGCACTCTGGAAACCGTCGGAAAAAAAGCTTTTTTTTGTTCTTTTTCTTTTTGCATGCAAGACTGGTTTCGCTTCAGACGACCAAATAATCAAGATATAAACGGTTTTCTTTTAATCATCATCAACAATACAGACGACACGTACAAACAAGGAATGCTGGACGGTGTTTACAAACACTGGAATTTGGGGTCCCTTTCGGAAGGTGTTTTTTTTCTGGGGGGGAGGAAATCTGGTTGGATTTTTTAAATATAACACGTGTGCCCACCTATTTTACAACTGAGAGGAGGAGGGAAAGGAAAAAAAAACGTCCGAAGCTTCTTAGAGAACTACCAATCTTTATAAAATCTAGCAGACTACATAGTGTCTGAAATAACTATTTATAGAATATAGACATTACTGCCGTAGCAAGTGCCTATAATAGTAACATTGTCCTCCGAGAATCGTCGAGCTTTCTCTTGATTTAGGTCTCTCTCGCATAACCAACTTTGTTTGTTTATTATGGTTCAAACCTTCTTGATTTTAGACTCACGGTTTAGTTCAAAATGGTTTAGGATCAGTTCGAATGGTTTATTCATAAATAGGCACAGAATAATTTTCTTTTAAATAAAGCAAAAAACAAAAAAAAGCCAAACCGCGTCCGAGAAATGTACAATCCTTTTGCCTTTCCGGGTCATTCATGCCACCCTTCCCCCTCCCCCACGTTAACTTTGTATTCTCTATATTACACCTTCCCTTTTACACCGGTAAACTTCGTTTTCAAAGATCTTAACAACAGGGGAGGCTTATGGGACAATTTAATACTTTCTGAAGGGAAACCCCTCCCCCCACTTGCCAGAGGCGCTCTAGCCCAAAGTCCTTCTTTCGGTCTGGTTCGGCCTGTCCGCCAAAGAGGCGAGGGGGTTAGGAGCTAGACAGAGAGATTATGGATATCGTATGTACGTAGATGATAAGAAAAAGCTTGGTACCATTGGGATCAGGGTGCAGTCCAAGGAGCGGGATCCCCCAAGCCCAGTCACTGGTCTGCCGGCCGCACGCGGCAGGGCTGGAAGCGGGACAGCCCCCCAGGGGCTCCTGCCTGTCCCTCTCCGGTCCCTGGGGCGGAGTTTGGAGTGGGTGGGTGGGTGTGCGTGCCGGCCCCCCCCCTTCCTCGGCTGCTTTGTTTTTGTCTGTTTGTCTCAAAGTTCATCATCAACCCTTTTTTTTTTTTACTGAAAGCGCACCGGCAACGTCGAGTCTCTCCCTCTCTCTTTTCCGCTCGTTCCCGCCCGGCTTAGAAAGGCAAAGTGTCCAGGAAGAGCTTGTCGATTATTGCCGGCGGCGGCACCAAGTCTTCCAGTTTCAGGTAGAAAATGCGCTGCAGGCCCTGCGTGCAGAGCGTGCGCAGTTCGGGCAGCTTGCCCAGCAGCTTCGACAAGTAATTGGGCCGGTTCAGGCCGCCGTTGTTGAACGTCACGTGGTCCTTGAGGCAATTGACGATCTTGTTCTGCAGCTCCTCCACCCGCTTGGGCTCCTTCAGGCCGTGCCGCTCTGCAAGACACGCGCCGCGCGGCAAGGGGGGG